ATACCCTTCTCCTACGGTCCTACCTCTCTTGAGCTCCTTCTTTCCCTTTATCCCCTAGATTCCCTGTATACCCTTCCAACCCCCCTCCCTTAAACTAACCCAATTTTTATCCGTATCTCCCTTATTAAGGCCTGTTTCCTACTGTTATTCTCTTTCAGGTTCTTTTCCTTTACCTCCCTGGTTCCTTTCCATTATTCTGGTTCTTGTAGTTATGTCTGGATGCATACGCACTTATCAGGATTTGGTTCTAGGATCCACATATGAGGGAGAACATATGTTGATTTTTTTTTCCTGAGTCTATGTTACTTCACTTAGTAAATCAGTGTCATGAAAGGCTGAAGGATTGCCTCTGATTAGAGAAGTCTGCAGAAACTTGACAACTAAATAAAGTATGGTTCTGAATTGGAAAAACAAACCTTACCATAAGGGATAATATTAGAATGATTGGCAAGGTTATAGATTGTTGGATAACACTATTGAATCAATGTTAAATATTCTCAATTTGATAATGGTACTGTGATTGTATATCCTTGTTCTTAAGGAGGTATAAATTGAGGTGTTTAGAAGTAAATAGTGGTGGTGTCTGTAACTTACTATAATTCAAAAAGAATGTGTGTATGTATGTAGGTCTACACGTGTGTATGTGTGCATGACCACACTTCTAGTCTTAAAAAAATGCAATCAACTGAAAATCACCTAACACTTCTTGGATGTTGATAGAGTATGTGGTGTTCTGATGTCTTTGCAGTCATGGCAATTTTGATTGTGCAGTTGTGATTGTAAAGACAGTAGGTGGTAGACCCTGTGTGTAGATGTAGCCCAGAAGTGTTTGGTTTGAAATTCTCATAACTATAACCCTCATCATCACCTGTTTCTCCTAGGAATCAAGGGCAGAGAGGTCGTTGTACATTCCTCCTACGTGGAGTTCCATGCTGTGGAACAGGCTTTGATGGACTTCTTAAAACTCATTGCTCTTGCCCACCACTGATTCTCCTTTTTATTTAGGTTGAATCAGAGCTGTTTCCCTTCCCTGCCTTTCCCTCTTTCTAGAAGCTCCCTCTGCCCCTGGCTCAGCAGAGTTCCTGCTCGAGTCTCTACTTTCTGAATCCCATTAGTGTAATGAACTGCTTAGTAAAGCACATGAGAGGCTAAAACACGAAATAATTTCAGTGTCATGGGCACATATATATCCAGAAGATGGAAGAAATTGCCAGCCTTAAACCTTTTGCTGTAGGGCTAGAATAGAACAGGACAGATTGGGGGGATTCCCCTTTCTCCAAGCGTATGCAAAATCCGGCATGCCTATGGAGACCAGAAAAAAAAAAGTCTCCTCCAAGCTAATCAGAACCATAGCAATGTCGGAACCACAGCTGCTCATGCAAGTTCTTTTTGGGTGATCCACATTCATAGGCACCAAGGACGGTCCTGTTACAGGCTTTTCCCCACTGCCAGCTAAATCTAGGTTTTAAATACAAAGTGTGCATTTCAAGGACATTATGTGGATTTGTGAGAGTGCCTAAAGGACTTTGGGTCTCTAAAAATGAGGAATAAATTACAAGAAAATATATATATGGCATTTTCATCAGTGACAGTTATATTGTCACAGGACAGAAGGAAACTGGTGATTTCCTATGGATGAGCATGCTTGCTGGAGCTACGAAAAAACAAAAAATGCACCGCTAAGCAGGAAATGGAATAAAGAAAAAAGTGGTTAAAATGGTGCCAGCTCAAGAGTCTCATCCTCAGAGCTGAGGAGGATGTGTGCACCTCTTCTTACAGCTAGGAAGAAGTGTCTGCTAGTCACTCAGTATGGCAAAGGGAGCAGATCTAGAGTATGCTGGGGCAGTCACAGAGGCCGCTAGTGACAGGATGCCATTCACCTAGGGTGTGAGATGAGCTGAGTGCGGTGATCCTAGGTGCCCATCTTCCTGTGCCTCCAAGGGCACTTACAGTAGAAATCATCTTTTTCTTACCTATGAGCCTCCCTAGCAGGTTACACATCACAAGACTTTCCCACCTGTCTCCTAGGTCCTTCATCCTAAAGCGCCATTCAGATAAATCATGACCCTGCAGTTCTGTAGATGTCTAATGAACAGCTTCCCATTTTTACTTAGTGCAAGATTTGTGTCTGAGAGTAGGGAATTTAAGAGGCAATGACTGTCAGATTTCTGAATTTTCAACTATGCTAGGCACAAGGTGAGCAGGGCCTCTGTACCTATTATGTACAGGGCCGTGCCCAAAGACCTGCAGCTGGTATCCATAGCCTACAGATCCAGAAAGGTGAAATAGTTCATATTTCAACATTATAAGGCCCAATGTTTGTGCTACCTTGTTAGTTTTTTTGTATTGTTTTGTTTTGTTGTAACGTTATCATAAGACAATTTGTAAACACATGAAAACTATTTACTAAGAACTCCAAATACATATCACTGAACATTGAGGACCAGCAGCATTCTGTCCCCTTAGTAACTTCTTCCCACTTCTCCCTCCTCCCCTCCTTTATTTGGGGGCAGGATGGTGTTCTTTGTTTATTTGTTTTTTGAAACAGGGTCTTACTCTATCTCAGATTGGCTTAGAAATCATAGCAATCCTATGTCAGCCTCCCAAGTGCTGGGATTATGACATGATTTTTCACTAGATACTTGTTTTATCTTTAGATTCTTTATCTGCATCTCAAAATGATAAAAAAAAACATTTATTTTATATAAACACATCATTAGCCACTAATAATAAGAAAATCCTTTTTAAAAAAAATATATTCACTGTTTCTTGGGACCTGAGAAGAGTGCTCAGCAATTAGGAGCACAGATCCGGGTTTGATTTTTGGCAGCTAACAACCATCCATACACCCTCTTCTGGCCTCTGCAGTCATTGCACAACATGGATGCACTTACATGCATGCAAACAAAACACTCATACACACAAAAAAAATAAATTTAAAAAATTTAAATCATTATTTCTTAATATCATCAAATTCTGTCTGCAAATCTAACAGTCTATAAAATGTCCTTTCCTAAGTACTTTATTTTAATCACAATATAAGTACAGTATAGTCTATTATTGTTGTACCTCCTAAGCAGTTTTTATCTCTTTGTCTCTTTTTAAACAATGTTTAATCTTTTATTTATTTGTTGTATTTGTATATGTAGATACATGCATATATGCCATGGCATGTGTGGGGTGGTCAGAGGACAACTTGTGGGAGCTGGCTCTTTCCTTCTACCCTATGTGCTCTTGGGGACTGAACTCAGGTTGGCAGTCTTGACATTGCCCTAATCTGCTAGGCATCTCATTAACCCCTTCTTTGTCTCTTAACAAAAGCTTTCTTCTCCTCCTCCCGACCTCCTCCAATGAAAGTTACTACTTAGAAAGTTCCACTTTCTATATTTGGCTGACTGATACTTGGTTGTGTTTTAACTTGAATCTGCAGGGTCATCTGCAGGCATGAATCTAGGCCTGCAGTTTTGACTAGATTCAAATTTATTTACTCATTTATTCACTTATTTGCTTGCTTACTTTTAGCAATATTATTTCTAAAGGGTTCCCACATAAAGTACTGTATTTTATTCGACTAGGCTTGTGTTGATAGAAAGTATAGTTATCACCAATCCTTTTTCCCCTAGTACTGAGGGCTGAACCCAGGCCTTAAACAGGCTAAGAAATCACTCATTCACTGAACTATAGCTGCGGCCCTTGGTGTTTTTGAGACAGGGCTCCTTTTCTGTGTGAAGTTCAAGCCAGCCTTGAACTCACAGTCCTCCTGACCTTGGCTCCAGAGTGCTGGGATTGCAGGTGTGTGCCACCACACTTTGGCTTATTGCCAATCCTTTGCTAATCAAGTATGTAGTTTCTTTAAAATCATCCAATCCCATTATTCAAAGTTCTCTGATGGACTAAAAATGCCTTTTCCTGTGGTGGAGAGGTGCCACATTACAGCAAAGACAAGCTGAATAAAGACAAGCCTGACCCCTTGATTAGGTTAAAAGCAGGAATGAGCCTGATCTGTTCTAAGAATTTGTTTCTTTGGATTTCTCTCAGAGCTCTCCTCCCAGACAAATAAATTGAAGTAAATCATCCACCATGAAATGGAGAAGAAATAGGAACCTTGTCTTCTCAGATGATTTTCCCTTTCTGATCCCTACTACCCCAAACAGCATACACAACCATAAACAGATGCTATCAGTCTAATTCCACCTGTTTGCAACATACACAGGGAATAATCCTTTGTTTGGTGTTCACTGCTCTCAGTGCTGGATATTTTCACAATGTACTCGCACATACATTATTCTGGGTCAAGAACAAAGAAGGGTCTTGGGGGATTAAAGCTGTATACAGCATTTAGCTTACAAAAAGAACCCAAGGCCTATTAAGATTGTTTACATTGGGGGATGGAGATATGGCTCGGTGGTTAAGAACACTGGTTGTTCTTGCAGAAGACCTGGGTTTGAATCCCAGCACCCATATGGCAGCTAACAACTGTCTATAACTCCAGTACCAGGGGATCCGACAGCCTCTTCTGACCTTTACAGGCATGGCGAGACACAGGTACACTTACCTATATGCAGGCAATACATACATACACATAAAATTAAAATAATAAATAAATTTTTTTAAAAAGATTGTTTACATTGGAAGTAAGCTTATATAGTGTTAAGTTACATAAGTGATCTCAAAACATAAGATTAATATTGATTACAAGGTTAGGAGAGATTCGCAATTATAACAGAAGGCAGTCCAAAAAAAGCCATTCCCGCCTTTGAATCCTAAGCTAATCAAGGGCAAAAACTTAATTTACTATTATTATTTGTGGTAGCTACCAAAAAAAAAAAAACTATACTAAATAAGATTATGCATAAGCATTTTGTGGTTTTCCAAGTATATATTTGGTAAAGATGACTAAAGATGGGATTCCTCCTAAAAGGGTAGGTCATATCTAATTTTGCTAGACAGCGAATCAAATTACTCACTCCAATACTGATTTACATTGTTTCTCCCATTAGAAAGAAGCCAACAAAACATACAACTGTGAAAATTTAGGTCTCAGAGAAATTCCTGCCACTCTACCAAACTCAACAGAATGTTTGGAATTCAGCTTTAATTTCTTGCCTACGATTCAAAGTACAACCTTCAGCAGACTCATAAATCTCACCTATCTGGATTTAACCAGGTATGTATTTATGTCTAGATGTGCTACTGACATTTTTCTTAAGTAAATCCACAACGTGCATCCAAATTGTTTCCAGTATCTTCTCTGGGAGCACAAAATGAAGCTGATTGTCCCGAATGTTCATTTATGCCATCCCATGGAATACTTTTAATACTTTTCTGTAGGTAAAATCTACTTTAAGCAAACATCACTCAATGAAGCGGAAAGGGTATTATTCTCAGGTTTTTGTATCATCAGCACTGTTTAGGAAGTTCTAAGGGATATTGATGGCAAGACTAAATAAATCTTATACCAAAACAGATGCCATTCTATGCTACATCTTAGTATAGTTAACTGTTATCAAGTAAAGATATTTTAAATTTTTTTTCAGAAGAAACACCCCTCTATTAATTTTTTGTTTGTTTTGCACAAATTGGATAGAGACTTCAATTATTTGTTCCGGGTAAAAGCATGATTCCAGATAGTGAAATACAACTTGGTCTGAGAACTAATGGGCAGGGGCATCAGAAAAAATGAGGAAAGAAAACAAGGGGGTATAGAGCATGTGTGTGTAAGTGGGGAAAGAAGCCCGGCATGTTCATGACATCTTCACCCCCTGGAACAGCCCTACAGTTTGGTCTCTCTACTTAAACTCCTGCCAGGTGGAGAATGCACATTCATAGTTACATCTCAAGTTTGTAAGCACCATTGTGAGGTGGAAAATATCACTGCCCACTTGGGGTTAGATGAGAAAGCCATCAGTATGCATGTGTGCACACACATGTGTGTGTTTATGTGCACATATGTGCAATCTAATATTTTTAGACATAATGCCAGAGTGCTGTTCCCTGAATCCCTACTACTTAATAGTTCAATGGAGCATTTTCCCATATATTGTTTGACTCAAAAAAGTCAAACTGATATAAAAAGAGGGCCAAGACTATAGCCCAAAGGTAGACTGTGTGCTTAGCATGTGCTGGATTTAATCAGCACCTCCTCCAAAGAAATTCAGCAAAAGTTGTATCTTGCCCATGATAGCACCAATGTATATATTTATATAACATATGTTATCTATTGTCTTATATATGATATATTTTATGTTACTTTAAATAGTAAATTTTAAAAACCCCAGGCCGGTGAGATGGCTCAGCAGTGAAGAGCAACTGGCTGTTCTTGCAGAGGACCTGGATTCGATTCCAGCACCCACATGGTGGCTAACAACCATCCATAACTCCAGTTCCAGGGGATCCAGCACCTTCTTCTGACCTCTGCAAGCACTGCACGACACAAGTGCACTTACACACATGCAGGCAATAGGCAATACACTCATACACATAAAAAAAATAAATAATATATGTATATATATATTTATATTTATAAATACCTCTGAATGTCTACTCTAAAGGGGCAAGGAATCTGGTATAAATTCCAAATTAAAGTGTTTAGAACTGAGGTTGTTCATTAATTCAATGGACAATTTTGTGCCTATAAAAGAAAGTTTTCATGTTTGAGTTCAACAATGTATATTATTTTGCTACTTCAAAAAGAATGGATTTGTTGGGCTGGAGAGATGACTCAGTGGTTAAGAGCACTGGCTGTTCTTGCAGAAGACCCTGGTTCAAATCCCAACACCCACAGGGCAACTAGCACCGTCTGTAATTCCAGTTCCAGGGGATCTGACACCCTCTTCTGACTGCCACAGGCATTGTACAACACGGGTGCACCTACCTACATGCAGGCAATACACTCATGCTCATGAAATTAAAATGGACAGTTTTTTAAAAAGTGAATTTGTTAATTCATGTCACTGTGGTGTTATGTGTTCTTTTGTTCTCAGAGAAATGATTGTTAAATACTCTTATCTTTCCAAGGTGCCAGATTTACTGGATACATGAAGATACTTTCCAAAGTCTTCATCAGTTGAGCACACTTGTGCTAACTGCAAATCCCCTGATATTTATGTCAGAAACAGCACTTAATGGGCCCAAGTCACTGAAGCATCTGTTCCTCATCCAAACAGGAATATCCAGTCTTGAGTTTATCCCAGCGCATAATCTGAAAACCTTGGAAAGTTTGCATCTTGGGAGCAACCATATTTCCTCCATTAAGTTCCCCAAAGGCTTCCCAACCAAGAACTTGAAAGTCCTAGATTTTCAGAATAATGCTATACGCTACCTATCTAGAAAAGATATAGACGCTCTACAGCAGGCCACTAACCTGAGCCTTAACTTCAATGGAAATGACATTACAGGAATTGAGCCTGGGGCTTTCAATTCAACTGTCTTTCAAAGTTTGAACTTTGGAGGGGCTCTTAACTTATCAGTTATATTCAATGGTCTTCAGAACTCTACTATTGAATCTCTCTGGCTGGGGACATTTGAAGACACTGCAGACCAAGATATTAGTTCAGCCATGTTTGATGGTCTCTGTGAAATATCTGTTCAGAGAATCAACCTGCAAAAGCATCATTTCTCTGACCTCTCCTCTGCCACATTTCAATGTTTCACTGGCCTTCAGGAACTGGATCTCACAGCCACTCACCTGGGAGAATTGCCCTCTGGGGTTGTAGGCCTAAATAGACTCAAGAAATTAGTTCTCAGTGCAAATAAATTTAAGGAATTGTGTCAAATCAATGCTGCCAATTTTCCCTCCCTTACACACCTCTACATGAAAGGTGGCTCAAATAAGCTAGACCTAGGTGCTGGCTGTTTAGAAAAACTAGAAAACCTTCGTCAACTTGATCTAAGCCATAATGATATCGAGACTCTTGATTGCTGCAACCTGCAACTCAAAAACCTGTCCAACTTGCAAAGCCTAAACCTGAGCTACAATGAGCCCCTGGGTCTCCTGACAGAGGCATTCAAAGTATGTCCTCAGCTTGAGCTCCTAGATTTGGCATTTACCCATTTACATGTTAATGCTGCACAAAGTCCCTTTCAAAACCTCCAATTCCTGCAGGTCCTGAATCTCTCCCACTGCAGCCTTGACACCAGCAATCAGCATCTCCTAGCAGGCCTGCCAGCACTCCAGCATCTGAACTTACAGGGGAATAACTTTCCAGATGGAAATATCCAGAAGACCAACCCACTTCAGACAGTGGGCAGCCTGGAGGTTCTGATTTTATCATCCTGTGGTCTCTCCTCCATAGACCAGCAAGCTTTCAGCAGTCTTGGGAAAATGAATCATGTAGACATGAGCCACAACAGGCTGACATCCAGTAGCATCGAAGCTCTTAGCCATCTTAAGGGGATCTACCTCAATCTAGCCTCCAACAGCATTAGCATCATCCCATTTAGTCTCCTCTCCATCTTGTCCCAGCAGAGTACCATTAATTTAAGAGACAATCCTCTGGACTGCACTTGCTCAAATATTTACTTTTTAACATGGTACAAAGAAAACCTGCAAAAGCTTGAGGACACAGAGGAGACACAGTGTGCAAATCCCCCATCGCTGAGGGGTGTTAAGCTATCTGATGTCACACTGTCCTGCAGGATCACAGCTGTGGGCATTTTCTTTCTCATAGTATTTTTATTCTTGTTTGCCATTTTGTTGGTTTTTGCAGTGAAATGTTTTCTCCGGTGGAAATACCAACACCTTTAACTGAAGGATTCCAGAGAAAGCAGATAAATGTGTTTAGTAAAACTGTCCTAAGTGAAGAAAACTGTCACCTGCAAGTATTCAGACTTTTCAAGAGATTACAGCATTGCTAGTCTCGCATTGACTGTGCTTCTTTGAACTTAAATAAGAGTCCCCCACAGTGGGTAGAATGGGGCTGGAAGGCCAGACACTGCTGTGAGATACAGAGATACTTCCTATATGAAAATTGATCCCCCAGGAGGTCATGTACCATTCACTCACTGAATCCTTTGCAGCAGCCCCATCTTGTCCCTGAAAGATCATTGGCCCTTCCGCTTGGCAGCACTGGGGCCATCCCTCAACTCTCTTCCTCTCAGGGTTCTGATATTTTGCTTGAGGCTAAGTTCTCTGTATTGCAGCCATTTGGGAAACCTAGTCCTGGGCAGAGTCTCAATGCTTATTTTCAATGACAGAAAGAAACACACACACACACACACACACACACACACACACACACACACACACACACACACACACACACACACACACACACACACACACACACACACACACACACACACACACACACACACACACACACACACACACACACACACACACACACACACACACACACACACACACACACACACACACACACACAATGAATTTAAAAGAAAAGACTAAGCAAACTAGATTCTATTAATCATTAATTGCCTTCTTTGATTTCTAAGGTTTCTAAATTGCTCCTAGGATGCAGAGAGTACAAAAATTTAAAAGCCCCCCATCCCTGAAGTTTGGAATTTCCTTCACTTCATAACAAGGAGGCCCCCTTCTACCTGGTGTTTTAATTCTTAGGTTGCAGATCGAATTTAGAGGTAGGCTGTGGTCCAAAGTGTTTGTCTTAACTGGGTGTCCAGTCTTTGGACCTCTCTCCCACAGGAACAGGGAGATGAATTATGGTTTCATTCCCAGGCTGGCTCTCCAAAGCCTATTCCCCTTGGAGAATATCCAAGATCACCTTCATAATGGAACTTAGTGAAATGCATTGTCCTTGCACAATAGTGGTCAGGAACATGATAAGGCCAGCTCAGAAGAAGAGGTTTCTGTCTGCGAGGTAGGGTCAGCAGAGTTTTTATGGCAGGGACAGATGGGACGGGGCCATTGAATGCAGATAAGCAAAGAGTACAGGCAACTGGTAATGCCATAACTTACCTCCCCAGAGTCCTAGAATCCTTCTGATGCAGGGCTGTATCTTCTGAGCTCTGGATGGCTGACTGTGAGCTCCTAAACTCAGTTGTTGTGTGTACAGTTACCCTTCTTTGAATTCAAGGATTCAAGTAACAGTGGATTGAGAATATTTGAAAAAGATTGCACATGTACTAAATATATATACAATTTTTCATTTTGTTATTCCCTGAACAATATAACAACTGTTTACATAGCACATATTACACAATAAGTATTATAAATATTCTAAAGATGATTAAAGGTATACTGGAAGGTATGTATAGGTAATATACAAATGCTCTTCCATTTTTACATAAAGGACTTGAACATCTGAAGATTCTGGTATCTGTGAAAATTTCTGAAGCCATCATTCTCATAGAAAACAAGGATGACTATATAAGGTCTTGATTAAATTCCATAACCAATTTCAGTTGAGAGATGGTAACAGAATAGTTATGAAATACCAATTGAATACCAAAGAACAAGAAATCAATGATTATATTCAGTCAGGATTCGCTAGCTCCTTTGAGGGCCTAAAAGTCAGACTTCCTAAGAGTGGCAACCTGGGAACCAGATTCTTTGGCTCTTCTCCACCCTGGGCAAAGCTGCCCGATGAGGGCGGCAGCAGTGCGTGGACCTCTTTCCTGTTTAGGACCTTCAGCCTTTCCTACCTGCTTCTTCCTTCCCTTGAAAGACTTTCTGTTCAAGTCTTCATGGTGGTTCCTTATAGCCCTGAGATTTCCGGGCTATTGTTTCCTCTTTTGAGGGGGGGTGTCCCTCTAGAGCCAATCCAAATTCAATGATGTACAGCCAGTGAGCACTCCAGCCCCTTAATTGTCTTTATGTGCCATTCAATACGTAGAATCAACTTCCTCACGAGTTTCAACTTCTCTATCTTGCCCTGTCTTTCCCTGAATGAAAGGGCCTTGGCACAATGGTATCCTAAAGCATGCTTGGGATTTGGTAAGGTATGTGGTGTGTGTGCGTGCGTGTGTGGGGGGGGTATGCATGCATGTTTGTGTGAGTGTGCTCATACATGTGCGTTCATATGGAGCCAGAGGTTGATGTCAAGTGTCTTCCTCAGTTGCTCTCCACCTTACTTTTCTGAGGCAGGGTCTCTCACTGAGCCTGGAGCTCATCCAAACCCCAGAGATCTATCTACCTATTTCTACCTGTCAGTACATACCACTGTGCCAGACTTTTTAAATCAGTGCTGGGGATCAGGTCCTTATGCTTGTGCAGAAAGCACTTTACTCACTGAGTCATCTCTGTAAGCCCCCAGGTTTCATATTTTTAACAATTGCTGATGTTTTGCCCGGTCTCTTGTCTACATGCCCTTATTAGTACCTATTTCTGTCCCCATGGCCATCCCCACTTACCCTTAGCTCTGGTCAACATCTCCAGTGCTCCTGGACCTCCCACATGTTTCTCACCAGAAATACCCAGGGCAATCTGTTAATACTGGGTTTTTGTGCTAAACCCCAGTATTAGGACATTGTTGCAGTGAGATTGACCCTGGATTCTCAGCCAAATGATTGAATCCCTGCTAAATTCTTCCCTACTCTTCATAAGTCTATTTCTCCTACTTCTCCCATCTCCAAGTGTAGATGGTTTCCACTCTAAGAATGCAATCTCAGAAAACATCAACCCACTGAGTTCCTTGTATTATGTCAAATGTCAGCTTTTTCCTGCCTTGGGGATATAAACTGCAGGTGGAAAAACAGTAGCTTCAGAGCTACCATTCTATAAACATTGTCTTCCTTAATGTTTAATATGTAACTTGGAAAACAAAACATTCTGTAGAAAATCTCTGCTGCAGATGCATTACACCAAAGGCCCCAAGGTCTCAAGCCTTGGTAAGGCCTAAGTGCCCATCTTGTTTTCATTTTCAGGCACGTTCCACTTCCAGGCTGCGTGACTTGCTGCTCTAAAGCTGCACACTGATCTAAGGCTTGGTGACAGCTCCTCTATATTAAGCAACAGTAAATTCACCCCACAAAGTCAGAAAGGGAGATTTTGATGGCTGCTGTCAATTTTATTGCTTTATCTAGTTACTAAGATAGAATCTGTAGACATGGTTTGTTTATTGGCTTTATGTATTGCATGTTGTTGCTGCTCTGACAAGCTACTCCTATAAAAACGTGTTATTATTGCATGATGTAGCTCAGTGAGCTGACCCTGCATTTCAAAGTGTACTGAAGCAAATAGCATTGAAGTCCATAAAAGCTGACTGGCCTCCATCACAAAGAACTCTCTGTATTTGCTGTAGCTCCCATAATTTAGGAAAGAATTATACTTTTCTCCGTGCCTGCAGCCACTGCTGTTAACTGAGCACAGCACACTCCCAAACACAGGTAGTCTCTGAAAAATTCCAAGACAGGACATTTTGTATCCTTCCGACTTGCCCAGCTCTCTGAGAAGCATCAAGTACAATTCTGAAGCTTGCGAAAGTATGAGATAGGCGGCTTCTTGGTGCTCTGTCGGTATAGGATGCTGGTGGGGATGCCAACAGTGTTTCCTCTCTTCTCTGCCTACAGTAGAGCAACTTTATGGTTCGCTCTAAGTTGGAAGTCAGCTGCTTGACATGTTAAGAGAGTGAATGTCTAACTCAGTGGGAGGCAGCCTGAGGCTGCAGAGGAACGGACTAGCCTAGTATGACTCCCAAGCCCAGTTGAACACCAGAATAATCAGGGGAATTCCTGACAAAACAGAAGTCTGCAACCCACTTCTGGTTATTGGCCTCTACTCTCCCCCAAGTAGTTTGTTATAAAATTCTTATCTAATCTTAATTCTATTAACCAACAGCAGCAGCATGTTAGGGTCCATGAGTCAATAAGCTAGAGATGGTCTTCATATCCCAGGAGAGGAAATTTCTTTACAAAAACTGAACAGAGGTGCTGAAGAGCCCTCAAGTCCAGGGTGCAACATCCTATCAGGCAATTGGACAATCTCTTCTGCCATCACAGGCAAGTAGCATGATTCTACCCCTTGGAGCCACACTGATCTCCACCTCTGGCCCACCCACTCCTGTCCCTTGCTAGCTGCTCATAACTGAAATCATGAATATTAAGGGATTTGGAAAGAATCTGTGGATTATATTTAAAACCTATTATTGTTCACAAAAGATTAAGCAGAGGATCATTGAGGATCCTCCACCCTTCTCCCTCATCTCTAGTTAATGTTCTCTGAGCACCTGACTGTTCACAATGTGGGGCTAGATCTAACAAAGGAAAGCATAGGGCAAATGGTCCCCACAGCATCCAAGGATCCATCTCCTCTTCATGTTGGCTCACAGGCCTCCTATTTCCTTCCTCCTTCCCTTTCTAACTCTCTTCCACCCTCTGTTCTTGACAGGGTCTCTCACTATGGGGCACAGGTTGATCTCAAACTGGTGATTCTCCTGTCTCCACCTTCTGAGTTTTGAAAATATAAAAGTACACCACCACATCCAGCTTGGTTCATGAGCATTCTAAATAACTAGCCCCACCCCCTTTTTCTCCTTCTTGCTGTCTTAGAAACAACCTAAACAAATAGATATATAATCTAAACAGATAAGGGATCAAAGAAATTAGAAGATGTTCTGAATAATGGGGAGCTTAAAGGAACAATTTAATACTATAAAAATATCAGTTCAGTTAGAAATAAGAGAAATTCATATTAAAATGAAAAATAAACTTATATCAATTAGACTGGGAAAAAGGAAAAAGAGGGGCTAGAGACATGGCTTAGTGGTTAAGAGTTCTAGCTGCTCTGTCATGAGGACTGGAGTTTGGATCCCAGCACCCATGTTGATTATTGCTGTATGGACTTGTCCTCCACCTGGCAAGCTAGACTGGCAAGCAGTGGACAGATGCCTTCTTCTCAAGCTGGGATTCACCTGCTTGCTCAAATCACCACAAACGAACTTTCCAGAGAAGGGGAGGGGCAGAGAGTCAGTCATGTCTTCCATCCAATCAGCTGGCCTGAGTGGTATATGGGGGAGGGATTAAGGATAAGGACTGGGGAAGCTAGAGAGAAGGGATGACCTTCACCATCTTTAGCAGCCACCAGGAGGTCACTGGGGCCCTGCTGCAATGCAGAGGGGAGCCCACAAGCACCTACACTTCTGTAAGTAACCCCCTCACCCATTGATCTGTATGGAAGTCCAATAAACTCTTTGGCTACCCAAGCTGCAGTTTGGAGAAATTATACCTTGTTTTGTCATAAGGATCATGGGGGCGAGGGAGTGGGATGCCATATGCGCCTCCCAGAAGTAATTTTGGCAACATGGCTCACAAACCTGTAACTCCAAG